TCTAAATGTGTACACACATAATAAGCTTAAATAAACATAAATAAGCTTAAACGTAATATATGAATGTTAATATGACATAAATATAAATAAACTTTAATGAGTGTATATAAGTTTTAATGCCATAAATTGCTTGTATTCTCCTCCGAAAATGTTTTAAAAGATGAAAATGGTATGTAGAGACTCATCCTAGTTACGTAAGTTAATTCTTTTTCGAGTTCGGGACATTTATCAGGTTTCATCAACTTTTGAAATGGATGGCTTTTGGATAATATAAGTGCACATGAATATGTATTATCAAGTTACAACATTAGAAGAATCATATTTACAACAAAAGAGTTGTTTTTGTTGACAAAGAAAGAAAGACAAGATGAGTATATTACCTAAGATTCTTGAGACAACTAGAGGACCAAAAGAGGGTGGAATACAAATGATTTCAAAGATAAAATCTAGCATGTTTTTTTCGTCATTTTATACCAACAAATATCCTATTCTTGATGAAGTTTGATCCTCGAAAATCCGAAAGAACACTAGGAAAAAGAAGTGATGTTTGGGTCTTCAATCAGTTGAAAACAACTCCATTCTTGGGATATTTTGTTTTCTCGAAGGCAACAACAAAATGGTGAAAAGAATGGTATTTGGAGCTATAAAGACTCGAAAAAAAGGGAAAGAAGAAGGGACAAAATGGAGCTAGAATCAAGAAGAAGGCAGTAGCCTTTTGCTACCTTCGATTGTGTTACTATATTAATGAATGAAGGATACCATTGAAGTTTTTGTGTTAAGGAAGTTTTCTCATTACATTTATTAAGGGTTTGCTAAAGTTCTGTATGGTCATGTAGAATTCAAGTATTGGTCAGATCATGCGCATAATTTAAGTTACCCCTAGGTTTACGTCTTCATGAACGTGTGTGTTTCCCTCTTATCGGAAGCTGCTATGAAAGGAACTCGTTAGATCATTTTGGAAGTACCAGGGTCTTGATAGAGGAGAATATGAGACACCCAAATCATGTACCAAATATGGAGAACATGGATAGCTCGCGGTATGGTTAGGTTATTTTTGGTCATGATGGGAAATGGTTGATCTGTCGATCGACTTCAGAAATGGGTATGTTCATTTTCGTATGGGTTTATTCGGTAGTATGTGAAATCATTGGGTCTAGTTTGTCGACCCATTTTTGATCGTCAATTATTTCTTTTGTGTTCAACCCCTATTTGTGTTATGTGAGATTAATGTAATGGGTTATGGATATGTGTACTCTTGATTGTTTTGTGGTGGAATATAGTAAGCTTGAGTTTGGTAGTTGTCCTTGGTTACTGGAAGTTCATAAATCAGAGTGGCGTTGTTTGATTTTTTAGGCGTGACAATGGGTCTACGTAGAGCTCAATTTAGGCATATCGTGTTGCTAGGGTTGGTATTTGGGTTGACCCGATCATGATTCTAGCAACATTTCTAGATAATTTTGGATTTTTCCTCAAATTTTGAAGTTTTATTATGTTAGTTAAGCGTTGGTGGGATGTGTTTAGTTCTAATTAAGGTGTGAGATCTTGTTTTGTGTTGTTCACAAGGATGTTTCCATTATCAATTAAGGTTATATGTTCCCTTGAGAGTGTATATTGTGGTAGTTCAACAAATATTTTCATCAGGGGTGCATCTGGACTGACTAAGATAGTCAGAGAGCACTTGGTCCAAATTTATGGTATGGTTATTCTTTAATTTATTGCTTTCGGGTTTGAATGTGCATTCAATTGTTTATCTTATTTTTTGGTCACATGAAATCATATTATCAACTGGTGTTGCGTCAGTAGCAATCTAGATTGCGGTATGGTTTGCTGACTATTGGATTGTATTGCTTTTTTATGGTTGACTAGTGTTGGGAGGGATGTTGACTGATTGGCGGGATGATGTTCGTGTGACTATAATCCCACTGAGTTTTTGGTCATGGTCCTTCATTCCCGTGGTTGGATGATTTCAAGATCGATATTGAGCTATGATTTTGCTACTTGTGACTTAGCGGCCAACAGGTTTGGGTCGAACATTTATAGCTCATTGACTTATTGGAAAGTCATGGTAGTTTATCTACAATTCCTTGATGAGCTCTTCTTTGTGGATTCTTGTTCACGTTTTTTAATATGGCTTCGACTGAGTTAATTTAACAATGATGGAATGGTTATAGGTATCTTGAATGAATTATCAGATGGTTGTGACCCTGAACTGTATCAGAGTTTGAATGTGACATGTGATTCTGTAATGGCCATGGTTATGCTCGTAGGAGCAGTTGGTTAGTTATGACTTGTCAAGAAGTCAAGTGTGTACTGGAGGTATTTTGGGCATAATTTATGAACCTTGATTGGTTGAAATTCATGATTGTAATGTTTTGAGTGTTTATGTTGCATGTTTGGTGGTGTTCCTAGTCAGGGACTAGGGGTAGATATAGCGGATGGATGATCATCATTCTATAGATATGTTTTTTGAAATTCGGATTCACAGGTCCTAGTCTTGTGTAGTATATTGATGAAGTTAGGTTGTAGTTGTAGTTTGCCCAGTTTCAGTGGTTTTGTTGTAAGTTAGATCATACCTTTGGGAATAGAGAGGTAATTGTTGCAGTTGAGTACTTTCAAGTGTTTCGGTTGTTTTTTTGGCATCTGTTAATAAATCTTTATAAATACTTTAATTTAATAAAGTTCTTGGAGGGAGCATATGGATTGTGTTAGTGCTGTTTTAAGAGATTCTAACCGAGACAAATTTTCGAGGATGAAATCCAGTTTAAGTGGGGGAGAGTTGTAACACCCAGTTTCAAGATGTTTCTTATTTTGGGATTTTGGTTTGTAATTCGATAATGTAAAGGTATTGGGTTTCAAGGAAATAGACTTTAGACTTTAATAGATGATGATAATGTTGGTTAATGACCTAAGCCCTTGACTTGTGCTTTAAAGTCAAAGGGTAAAATAGGAAAGGTGATAATTCAGGCTTCTCACATGAATTAACGATTTAGTACAATGTGTTTTTATTCAAAAGTGACTATATATAATTTTGTGGCTCGTCAATACCTTCGCCTGCATATACAGATCGCTGAAAACGGAGTTGAATCGAAGAAGTTACGATTGTTTGAAGTTCGAATGGAATTTGGTGAAAACCCTTTGCCACGAGGTGGCAAGCAGGTTGCCATGATGTGGGAGTCACCATGAGGTGGCAAACAAGTTGTATTGAGGTGGGATTCGCCACGAGGTGGAAAGCTAGTTGGCATGAGGTATCCGTTGTGAAACCTAAGAAGATGAATTTTAAGGTTTTCAACATATTTAATTGATAGGTCCATGTTTTAGGGCATTTTCTTAACCTCCATCATATATAGATCCTTTTAAGAGAAACCCTAGCCTCTATCTTCATAATTTAATCTCCTTCTATCTCCTCTCTTCTCTTTTGGATGCTTTTAGTGATGTTTTTCTGAAGCTTGAAGAGCAAGAAAGTTCTTTAGGTTGCAAGTAATGTTGTTTAAAGTTTGGATCCATCAAAGTCACTCAATTTCTAGGCTATTGTGAGTATAAAATTTATATCTTGCTCTTTATTTCTTTAGATATTATCATTTGTGGTTTTTGGCATTTTTGTTCCATTCTATGGGTGATCTTGGAGTTGTGTGGACTGCAACATCGTTTGATCAGTGGGAAATGATTCTTACACATAATGAAATAGGAAAGTTATGATTTTTTTCCTTCCCTTTAAGCCATGAAAATTATCTTGGTCCTTTAGGTCATTTTGGTATATGAAATTTTAGATCTTGAAAGTTTGTCGCATTATTATGGGTAAAGTTGGAAACTTTATCCATCTAAACATCAAGTTGATTTGGATATGAAGGTTGGAGACTTGGACTTAATGGATTTGGTTCAAAAAGATGCATTCTTGGTCCCTTTGAGACTTAAAATCTAGATCTTGGTTGTTTGGAACATCCTAATGGATAAAGATGGAAATTTTATCATCATGAAGCTACTAGGTACTAGATCTGACGTTTTGAGCCTTGGTCTTAATAAATTAAACTTATTAAAGGGAATTTTCCCAGAGATCACAATATGGATAATGAAGGTGCATGACATGGTTCCCTACCTCTTGATTTTTTTTCCTGACTTTGCCACAACGTAGTGGTCTACTGTGTTGACTTTGACTGTTTACTTTTGGTCAAAAATTAAGAAAATTATGTATATGGCTAAGGAATGATATTGGTTTGGCATTAGGTAACTTTTGGTTAGCGGTGTTGTTGCTAAGGTGGTTGTTGAGCTGATGTTGAGTAGTTTAGGTGAGTCTTCTTACTATACTATGTAGGATGCTAGTTATCTTTCTGACTCTTGCGTGAAGACTAGGGTTTGGCCCCTGGTGTTCATATGAAAACCAGGATTTTGGCCTATGACAATTGCATGAAGACTAAGATTTGGCCCCTCAAAATTATATGGAAGACCAGGATCTAGCCCCTGTCATTTGTACAAGTAAAGGACATGATTTGGCCCATGGCAAGAAGTGATGGTAAGACTATGATTTGTCTCATAGCATTCAATTGGGTTTGAAATAGACCCATTATGACAGTGTGGTATGTGGTATCTAGGGGAACTCACTAAGCTATGCACTTACAGTTTCATGTTTAAATTGTTTCAGACCTTCTTATATTAAAGGAAGGGTGAGACACGATTGCATTGCATCGAATAGGGATTTCCAAACTTAATAACTTATTGACGATACCCTTATAAATGTTTTTAATTAAATGGTTTTATTTAATTTTTTGAAGTAGTAATTGGAACAAATGAATTTATTTTTAAATGAAAATGTAAGTTTGAAATTTGGGATGTCTTATTTCTCCCTTTGTAAATATAGTCACTCATTGTTGATAGAGCAGAAGAAGTTTCCAAAGACCTAGGTCAGTCATTACTATTAGGTAAATGATAACCGTTTTGGTGTGATGCAACGTCGATATGCTCCTATTTCTGATTAGTCATTTGCTCTTCATTCTGACAAGGAGAAAATGGCTAGGTTTCTTCGATGTTTTCAGGTTGTGGCAAATGAATTTTTGGAGGATGTTCTTGTAGGTGTTGAAATGAGTACGTATTGGAGGTTTCAATGGAAGATATATGAGTTCTATGTGTTGGTGAAAGTTAGGAAAACTATGTTTTAATGTTTTTCATTCTTTTGATTTTTAGTTGTACAAAATAGGGAGAACTTTAAGGATGTGTTGGCAAAAAAGTAGGTTGGAATTCTCCGGCATCGAGATGTTGATCTTGTTGACAAAGTGTTGCCTTCTTTTCTTTTTTGTAATGAAGATTTTATTGTTTGTGACTCAACCATTCGGGACGTTGAGCTGCATCGTGTGGTTGCTCAGCCTTCTCAGTCAGCTTCTGTTGATGTTGTTGAGATGGATTCGTCTATAAGGAAGGGTATTGAGGACGAAATTATAGAGGACAGTAAGGAAGGTGTCCTTGTGGCGCCTGTAGTTAAACATAAGGTCGTGTGGCAATGTGTTGGGGGTATTGATGCATGGAATTTGGCTCTTGTTTGTCGATTGCGTCCGAGGAAGTTAGCAAGAGGAACTTCTCGTCTTTTGGAGTGTCAGGAAGAGGTGATTGATATTTCTAAGGACGGAAAAGTGGAGAAGGTTGTTGATTGGCTTATGAGAGAAAATTCTTGTTCGTGTAATTTTGCCCTACCGTTCGAGTTTGTTAAAGGTGCTTTTCCTCCTAGTACTTATACTGAGATGGTTGGTGTCACACCCCGAAAACCAAATGCGGAAACGTCCCCGGGGTTGACTCCAAGTTGTGTATCAAATCCAATGTACATAGTAATCACAGTAAACAAACATTACATTACATATATATGAAAGTTTACATTTGTTCAAAAGTAAAGTTATACAAGATATACATATGCATCATATAAACAAAAGTTGAGACGAGTCTTCCACGCACTCCGTCTTCATCAAAAGAGATCACCTGGTACCTGTCTAACTTGGACCTGAGAATACAAGCGGTTGGAAAATCAGCATAAAGCTGGTGAGTTCATAAGCGGATTTTGGTTTATGAAAATGTATCGGTTTCCTTTAGTTTCCGAAAAAGTTGTTATCCAAGAAAATCCCATATTTTCTTATGTGAAATTGGTTAAGTTATCATTTGTTACCAATTCGGTTATGTATTGTATTTTACCCCAGGAAAATCCCATATTTTCCTAATTATAAGATCGGTTGTATATCACAAAGTATAGTTTAACACACAAAACTATATAATGAAAATCTTGGGATTACTATCCCGAAAGACATATAAGATAGTTTGACACATCTGAAAGTGCAGGTTTAAGATCATGGGACTATCATCCCGGACTAAACACGAGATAAGTTGATATATATATGTAAATGTAGATTGAAACCATGGGATCACTATCCCGAATAAGATACAGATTTGGAAAACCATGGGATCACTATCCCATATATGATATAGATACAAAACCTTGGGATCATTATCCCGTATAAGATATAGATTTAGAAAACCATGGGATCACTATCCCGTATAAGATATAGATACAAAACCTTGGGATCATTATCCCGTATAAGATATAGATTTAGAAAACCATGGGATCACTATCCCGTATAAGATATAGTTAAAGACCATGGGGAAAGACATCCCGTACAAGTTATAAGCATAAAACCATGGGATCACTATCCCGAAAGAGATCTAGAAACAATATCATGGGATCACAATCCCGAAAGAGATATAAAATATAGATGCAAAACCATGGGATCACTATCCCGAACGAGATATAGTTTCTGAACCCAAACTGTGAATAAGCTGGTATTAATACATATTGTGAGTCGGGTAACCATACTAATACGACAACATGACCTCCTTGACGTTTGTCAGACGTCGAACGATATCCAGAAATTTGTCACCCTAGGCGTGCCCGCCTAACTGTAGCTAGCAGTTAAGGTGTGGGATTGTCAGTCCCGAATAGATCTATTCACAAATTCCACGCTCTCCCTCCAGGAGACTCTGGTTACACTTCCGGGGAGGATTTACTGATCATCCATAAAGGGTAGTGACTATCTCATAAATTAGTACTTCTATTCACAGGGTTCTTGTAAGATATCGATATACAGAAGATTATGAAACATAGTACAGTAAAGTATAGATACATACATGAAATTATCTGACAATACATTAAAATGATACGGAGATAAACTGAATCAGACATAGTTTATCTAATAACTTGATATAGACATCAGTATACGATAGAAAGAATAGTAAAGACCCCCAAATTATTCCCATAATAATTTGATTAGTTTGATTGTTTCCTTAACTAAAATCCATTTAGTTGAAATCGAAAAGTCATTCCTTATGCTCAGCATAATACATAAGGAGTAAAAGAGTTTATAGGTTTGTCAGATATTGTTTGAAACACATCAATGTTGTGATTGGAAAACAGTTATAGTTTGCTTTTATTCCCCCCTGAAAACATTGAAAACAGTGAAAAAGCCGTAGGGGTATGAACTCACCGGACGAGATATGAGACAGTTTGGATGCTAAGAGTTGATCCGGAACTTGTAAACACACGAGGTTCCTAATTATCATGTAAAGGAACACATTTGTATCTAATTAGGACTTAGATTGATTGTTGGATAGGGACAAATGCTTCAAGTCGCGATAACACTCCAATACAAGTGTTTGGAAGGACCCGGGTGGCGTTTAGGGACATGAATGATACAAGGGACTTGGGAAATGAGTTGGGACATCAAAGGAACACCCCCCCTTTAGGGAGTTTACGGCCAAAACACCCATCCCCATGAGTTTACGGCCGTAAACTCATGATGGGTGGTTTATGGTGCAATTTGGACTTCCAACACTTAGGGGATAATTTCTAAACTTGGTTTAAGGACTTGGAATGATTACAAAACATCAAATAGACCCCCTTTATGGGAGTTTACGGCCTAGCATGGCTACAAGGCCGTAAACCCCTATTTACCCAAGAAAATGATGTTAAATGGTGCTAGAACATTTGGGGTGTTTATCCAAGGCCTATCATGAGTTTGCAAGGGACTTTTGGGGTGTTTATGGAGTTTACGGCCCATGAGACCCCCATCATGGCCATAAACTCTTCTATAGGGTGCTTCAAGGAGTTTCAAGGTCTAAAACTTGCATGAAAGGACTTCTAAAATTCATCTAAGGGCCTTAGGGGTGTTTAGTTTGCATTCTAACACCAAGAATTTTGGAGTTTACGACCCAAGAACAATTCTTGGCCGTAAACCCTTAGAAATCCCATGAATGATGTGTTTTAGGCCCTCAAAGTATTTTTGGTTGGTCCCTTGATTTATTCCAAGGCTTTTGGTGGTGTTGGATGGCTTTCTAACACCTTAGAATTGGATTTATGCCAAGTTTTGGGGAGTTTACAGCCCAAGCACTCTCCTTGGCTGTGAAGTCATCTAAATCCCCCAAAATTCATGTTTCAAGTGTCCAAATGCTAGAATCAAGGTCCTATAATTCATATCTAGGCCATAAAAGTGATTTGGAAGGGTTTAAGGGGATGAAAACCCTAATTATATGAGTTTACGGCCCAAGAATGATCCTTAGCCGTAAACTCCTTCAAACATCACAAAATTCAAGTTTTACATGTTTAGAGTCCATATCTTGAAGTACCATAGCCATATCTAAAGTCCAAACTAGTCAAGGAGGGGTTTAAGGGCTCAAAACCCATCATTTTTGGTGTTTACGGCCTAGGCATCTTCCTGGGCCATAAACTCATACATTGTGTCCCATTTCATGATTAAGTGTCTAATTTGGAAGCTAAAAATGCTATAGATTGGAGCTAGGAAGGTACCTTAAGGATTTGAAGCCTTAAAAATTGAGTTTTGGACCCTTAATCTTTGGATTTTTGGAGAGAGGTTAGAGAGAGAGTAGTGAGAGAAGGAAAAGCTTCAAATGAAAGCTGAAACACGTTTATATAGTTCTTAAAATTTGAACGTGGTGGAATTCTACCCGATACCGACGCTAAACGCGGCTTTTGGTCGCACCCGATTGAGTTTCCGTCACCCGACGGGAACATTATAAAAACTCATGAAATAAATGTTTTTGGGCTAATAACATAAGTTCCTGAGTGATTTAGACACTCATTAGAATAAAATAAATATATAAGTTTATATGATTAACACCAAAGAGAAAACGGAACGAATCCGATAATGGCGACTTTCCGGGTAGAACGGGTTTTGGCGACGAACAAATTTCGGGTTGTTACAGTTGGGTAAGCTCTATCAGAATTTTTTGGGCTCTCCAATTTTCAGTGGATCAAAGTGCTTGTTTCATTGTGGAGGAGGCTAATCGTCTTGAGCACTTATTATATGTTGATGAGAATCGCACTCATTTGAGGAAGGAGGCCTATAATGTTCATGTTGTGAACACTTTGATAAATTCCATGGAAAAAGAGTTGTGAGGTTAGGTAGCTATGTTGGAGGTTCGTTTACTTGAGTCTAATCAGTTTGTCGAGGAGAAAAGGGTGTTGGAAGAAAAGTTCGCGTTATTAGAGGGAGATAAAGTTCCATTGAGTGCGGCAGCTGGAACGTTGAAACAAGAAAATGAAGACATTGGTATTCGACTGTAAGAGAAACTGCAGAGAGTTCGGTTATTGTGTTAATGCCTTGTGTGATGCCTGATTGCTGCAGGGATGTCTATTGGTTTGTATGATGCAAGAGAACTGGTGTAGGCTGGGAAAAGTTTGGGTGTTAATCTGGATAATGGTATGGATCACAATGTTGCTGTGGATGATGCTTTGACTTCTTTGGATTACGCATCATTTTTTGGGTTTGATAATTTGGTTGTTCTTGAGTTTATGCAATTTTTGTTGCCTTGTGAAAATGTTGGTTTATAGATGACATTTTACGCATCTTTTATGATAGTTATTATTAGCATTTTAAATCATATATTATGTTATTTCATATGTATTAGTTCAACTAATGTTCACCTCAAGTTTGTCGCTAGAATTCCCGTACTGCTCATCTTTTTATGTCGTTCTCAGATAATTCGAGTGGAGATGTACTTTGGGAGAAAATTTGGATGCTTATTTGTAGTTTAATGGAGCTAAAAATACCTGAGGAAGCTAGAAGCTAGGTTAGATTTGCTGAAACTGAAGAGTTCACGTTTGAATCGCACGTTTTATGAAAATTGCGATCACATTTCTCCTAAAATGTGATCATCTTTCTATAAAATGCATTCATATTTTTCCAAAAATGCAATCACATAAGTGTATAGAATATTGTTGGAATCAAAAATAAAATCGAAAAAAAAACCCAAAAATACAATCACATTTCTCCAAAAATGCGATCAAATTTTCTATGAAATGTCCTAAAAAGTTCGAAAATAGCAGCGTACTTCATTAAAAGGGGTTTATGAGGAATTTGACCAAAAATGCGATCGCGTTTTTGGTAAAATGCGATCCTATTTTTATGCTTCGTGCTTCGGAAGTTACTGGCTTGCATGTAAATCTAACCTCTATTATCAGTTTGAATCCTAGACGATCAGATATGTTCCTAGATGACAAAAAAACCTTCTGAATGCGATTTTTGCTACTTTTCATCACTTTCTATAGATCTGAAGATTTTGGATTATCTCCTACATTTAGTTTAGTAAGATTGGTTATTTAGTTTCTCTTTTCACTAGTTTAGATTAGAATTTATCCATGTCTAGCAAAAACACTTATTTTCAGTTCTACATAGACTAGTACTTTTAATATGATAAAAACACCATATTTGGTTTTCAGTGTGTGATTCTATTTAGTAATTTCTTTTTGTGCTTAACGAATGTTTAATTTTGACTCTTGATATTCTGATAATCTAACCAAGGTTTAATCATTCTAGTTAATCTATTGTTCAAATCTGTAATTGTTTTGACAATCTCATAATAAGTAACAACTAATAAATCAGTTCTATGTTTTGATTTGACTTTATTATAAACTAAAAATCCATATCTTTGTGCTTCCGAGCTTGTGAGAAGTATTGGATATTGTTTGAAATTTTACATAGATCTTAATGAAACTTTTCTGAATTTAATCAAGACTTTGGTTAATTAGATTAGTAAAAACGTTGGGGTTAATTAAAGATTATGTTTTGGTTAACTAATTAGGTAAAAGAGAATTTACTAGAGCCTATTAGTTTTCATAGTACCAAATTAAATAGAACACATTCTGAATAACCAAGTTCGAATTGATTGAGTGACTACGAAAGTCGCAACACAACTTATTATTGATTTTTCTTCAGTTATATTCACTGTTATTTTAGTTTAGTTAATAATAAAAATCCCCTTTTCATATTTTTCTGTTTTTGGACTAGTATCTGCCTTACGCAAAGAAGCATTGATCATTAAGTTGTGTCCCTGAGGATTCGACCCTACTTCCCTTTGTTATATCTTTAGTGCATTCGATAAGTGAAATTGTGTTTCGCTTAAATCGTGCACGACGTCGGTTTAACAAATTGGCGTCATTACCGGGGACGCGTTGCTGCTAACTGTTTTATACCAAGAAGTTTTTTACAGGTACATCTCTATTTTTCAATCCAAAAATTGAGAAAACTGTGAGGAAGCTGAAGAAGAAAAAGAAAGTTTAGATGTAACAAGCGGGTTCCTAAGTTCCATCCTCTTCATTACCACTAGAAAACACCACACCAAAAGGCAAGATGAACAACCCTGAACCCTCTTTTTCATTGTTCCCTAAGGCACCTCCATCTTCTCCTTCCCAAAGCCTTGTTAAAAAATACTCCCCACTACCTTCTGAAAAATCTAAAACCACTAACTCGTCTGAATCTAAATATGAAAAAAAAATCCATGGGGGACGGAGAAAACGAAGAGAAAACTCTTAGAGAATAGGCCACCCAAGAGGTTAACCAACTACCTTTGTGCATCACCTTTCCTGAAGCCCATAACTTTTGATGCTGAAATCTGGGATGATATATCTTTTTCGTACATTCAAAGGAGTCAAAACGAAAGCCTATATAAATCCTTTCAGGAATTTCATGTGGTATCTTTAGGAATGAAGTCGTACGACATAATAGAAGATCAAATAAAGCTAAGGGCATTCCCCTTTTCAATGCAAGAATGAACAAAAGAATGGTTGTATGAGCTGCCATCCGGGTCGATAACTACATAGACTGAACTTGCAAAATTATTCATAGAAATATAATTTTTAGAAACCCAAGTTTCTAGCCTTCTCCACAAGATCCTTGGTATCAAAAAAGAAAGAAGAGAATTTTTTTTCCTACATACTAGGAGCGCTTCAAAAAGCTACTTGTTTGGTGCCCACGACACAAAATTAGTGATTACCAACTATATAACTATTTCTGTGAAGGTCTAACAGCAATGGAGAGGCACCTAATAAATGTTTCAACTAGTGGATCTTTATGGGACATGACACCAAATAAAATCCAGGAGTTGATAAAAAAGCTGGCTATTGAGTCAAAACATTCCGGTAACAAAGAGGAATGGTATCCTGGTCAACCAAAGGGTGTCAAAGAACTTAGCTTATATCATCTGGAAGCCCACATTTTTGAACTTACGAAAGCGGTGTTGCTGCTAATGATAGAAAAAGGAGTTGTGAAAAAACAGTGTGGAATTTTCCTAAAGACTTACTATCCTACTTATGTGTGTCCGTTATGGAAAGAGGACACAATTGCAATAAAACTATCATAGGCTATAAACAAAATTTTTAGAACAAATTTCAGCAATGGGTACAATATTAGAATCCACCTAGATTCTAGGAGTAGCCACCGACTTTTTAGTAGTCAAATTTTCAGCAAAATCAACTTCAACAACTGACTTATAAGAAACTAATCTAGCAAAATTATCAACAACTATAGTTTCAAAATCATCACTCTAATCAGCAATCTGGCAGCTCCAACATGGCCCTGGAAGATATAGTAAATTTTTTAACCACTAGCATTCATGCGTTCCAGAATGAAACTAGAGCAAGTATAAAAAGTCTAGAGTCTCAACGAAAACTACCTGCTCATACTAAACACAATCCAAAAAAACGTGAGTGCAATTTCCTTGAGAAGTGGGAAGAGTTATGAAGGCCCAAACATATATGAACTAGAAGAAGATTCAGAAAAAGAAAGTGAAGTTTTAGGTGACAAACAAGCTGAAAGAGATGAATAAAAAGAATCTCCCAAGCAACCCAAGTCGATTATGAGGGAGTATAATCCTATTCCACCATTCCCATCGTGGGTGAAGAGCACAAAGTGCGAGCGATAAGATAAGGAGATCATGGAAACCTTTCGTAAGATGGAGGTAAATATTTCATTAATTAATATTATTAAGCAAATACCTTGGTATGCCAAAATTTTGAAAGAATTATGTGTTTCAAAGAAAAATCTAAAAATTAATGAAACACTAAAAGTTGGCAAACATATATTTGCTATTTCGCAAAAGGCTTACCTCCAGAGTGCAAGGACTATCATCCAGTTGGTTGAGCACTCGACGGTACACCCAAAAAGGTGTATTAGAGTATCTTCTTTTCCAAATAAATGAACAAATTTTTCCCACTGAGTTTTACATTTTAGACATCAGCAATGTGGATGTATAAAAAAAAATCAATCATTTTTGGAAGACCTTTTATGAAAACTGCAAAACCAAAATACACGTTTTTGTTGGTACTATTTCTACGGAGTTTCATGGTGATATTGTGAATTTTACTAATAATGATGCTGATATTTATTTTGATAAATTTTCTGTCAATTATTTGGATACTATTTGTACTTTTCCTGAGGACTGTTGTGAGTTTTCTAATGATTTTGTGCAAGAAATATTTTAGACAGAACATCATATGATGATGCATCAAATGAGTTAAAACTAAAAAATCCTGGGGGTGGGGTGAAGGATGATATGATTTTTGCTAAACAAGATGGTAAGAAGCTAATAGGAAAAGGAAAGCTTAGGGAAGAAAGGGAGAATGTGATTTCAGAAAAGAAATTATAAAGAAGAAAGCTTGGGGAAGAGAATAAGAAGATTTCTGGAAAGAACATCAAAAAAACAACAAGACTTAAAAATATGAAAAAAAATTATTTGATAAAAATTTGAGGATTTTTCAACATTGTTTGAAACAACCAGATCCCATAATTATGTCACATCTAAAGGGGTCTGAAGTGAGGAAAACAATTAAGCTGAAGATGAGCCCCACATTCACCAGTTAAAAATATGGTTGGGTACAGTCAAGCCAACAACTTTAAAAAAGGATGGCCTTCAGGGAGGCAACCTGATGAATAGTATATTTTTATGTATTGAATAAAGAGTGTTCACACTTCCAAGCAAGATTGGGGAAACCAGAGAATCTTCTAAGATTCTGAAAATCAAATTTTTCGCCAACATATTCATCAAAATCAGAATTTTATACAACATATCAGGTACATTCTTTCCTAGCTACAACCCTTTTGCTTACATATGTTCTATTGAGCTGTTCAATCCTCTCTGAGCATTAAGGACAATGCATCATTTTAAGATTGGGGTGGGGGTTAGTGTAAAATTTTTGCATTTTTGTTAAAAGTTTTAAAATATTCAGTTTTTCAGTTAAACTTTTTGTTTTTCCTTTTTGCATTGCATTTTTCACAAAATTTGAGAAAAGTCCAAAAATATTTTCTATTTATGTTTTTACTTTTCTGCATTACAAAAAACCCAAAAATATATTAGTTTTAGTTATTTTAGTGTTTATATTCTTTATATAGA